AAAAAAAAAAAAAAAAAAAAAACGGGGAGGGGGGGTATAGTAATTCTAGACATATAAACAGCTATGTACGGTCTACCATGAAACAAATCAAACCAGCTCAAACCGCTTGCTAGCATGCTCATCCTCAGCCTCACCTCCCTCAACAACAATATAATCCTGAACCAACGCAGACCCATCCAACACAGCCTTCGCCTGCTCCTTAGTGCAAGACGCCGCCAGCGAGAGAATATAGCAGGTCGGGGCTGGGCTATCAGGTACCTCATTCTTGACCGACCACGACGAAGACGGTCCCTGCGTGGAATACGTGTCGTTATGCGCGGTAGAAACGTGTCCCGTCGAGATATCACGGTTGAACATGGAACGGTGGAAGATTTCATAGGCGGTCTGGGGCTGGTAAGCAGGAACCTCGTGGCCAGCCTCGAAAACCCGGCTGAAGGAGAAGTTGCCGTGCTGACGGACCAACCCTCCCACGTAGGAAGCGTTGGTGTGTAGCGGAGCGTATCCAGCTGAGCGGAACTGGTGGGCTTCTGCGTGGTCTACGCGCAGACTAACTGCTTCCCCGCCGTTCCAGGGACAGGCGTAGTCGCGGTCGCCGTAGACGAGAGCTACTTTCACGCCGGTGTCGAGGAGGTACGCGATGTCATCGAGGTAGCCGTGGATGTCGGAGCGGGCATAGTCGCCAGTAGCACCGAAAGCGTTGTACACGCTGTTGACGGATTCGGTGAAGTTGACGGGGACGCCTAGCGCGCCTTGCACCCAGTGCTGGCTGAGGAAGCCGTTGTGGTACGGTGGCGGGAACGGGTCAGGGTCGAAGTGGGAGATGTCGTAGTAGCCGCGGCCGGAGGTGTTGATGTATGGGCCTTCGACTTCATTGCTGCAGAAGTCACTGGCTTTGGAGCAGAACTTGTTGACTGTGGCATTGCGGCCGGTCATTTTAGGGTCACCCTCTGCGGCTAGACGACGGCACTTGAGAATGCCATCTTTACAGCCACCGGGTTTACTCCATGCACGCATCGCATTCTCATACTGGGTCTTATTGATCGTCTCGATGCCATAGGTGTTGTTGTAGGCCATCTGCGGATAGTGCGGCGCCTGCGTCAAAAGATCCACGCAGCCATTGAGAATACCCAGCGTATCCATATGGATATAATGATACTCCGCCTTATTCTTGGCAATCTTTTCATTCTGCTCCTGGAAGAACGCCGCAAATGAAGGCCCATATCGTCCACCATATGACTCAGTCCAAATACTCACGCGATCATCATGCGGCTTGTACTCGGGAAACTCAGTGAACCACGTCTGTGCGAAATGCCACAATGCCTTGGCCGAGTTCTCCGTGCTATTCGCCGTGGTATAGTTCTTCTGGCTAGGGAACGTGCCAACATAAAACGTATTGTTTTGCTCCGGCACCGCGCCTTCAGGAAAAGGAGACACGTTCCAGTTGCCAGATACCTGGTCATAGGTCCCGTTCGTGGGAACGTCGTAACTGAACCCAACCTGATTCGGCTGGTCGATGTACAGCATGTTGACTTCATTGTTCCACGACCACGGATTCAAGACGGTGGAATTCGAGTCCTCGTTGACGCGACAAGGGCCGTTTTCCTGTAACAGACCAATCATTGAAGAACTTCCAGGGCCACCGTTCATCCAGATAGAGAGGGGGGCATTTTGTGGGTTTTTGCGCGATTCGAAGAACCAGAAAAACGTGTTGATGGGGTACTTTTGTTGCACGTTTACATCGGAGAGTGCCCCGGGAGGGAGATGGACGTAGCCGGCGTAGCTTTTGACATTGGGGGTTGTTTCGCATATTCCGGGCTGTCTGTATTAGCTACAGTGATAATGAAGAGAATCGGCAGTAAAGAGTACCTCCTTGTAGGATATTCTCACACCCTCTTGATGCTTCGATTCAACGACCGTCAATCCTTCCGGTGATGGAGGAAAATAGCTGCGGTCTTGACCAGCGGCAGCAACGCTCGCCAGACCGGCGACTGCGGTGATCGCAAATGAATGCAGAGAAGGCATTTTCTCCCAGCAATGTACAATATACACCACAAGTGACGGGATGGAATTGGAGAGGGGATCCCGGAGCTTATATATGGGGAAGCAAAGCGGAGATTGCCGATCATACAACTGATAAGGAATGGATCGTATCAGGGTCCAGGGACCTTAACAAACAGTACTATTGCCATCGGCCGCTACCGACCACGATATCGTCGGATAATCTGGCGAAGACATCGCGTCTCTCGGGTCGGTGCCGCAGAAGTCGGCATTGGCAGGCACCTCTTGACACTCTTCGCTCTGATATACAAGGGTATTGGAAAGCCAATGATGCCGTGAAATTATCCCAGGTCCGAAGCTGTTCGGCCCGGAATAGAACAAATAACCTGTCCGTAGCCACTACCGGACACCCTCACCGAGAGTAGTACCGAGTCTTTTCTTTCCTCACCTCAGGTCATGGCCTGGAGGTGAGAGTTATGTATACTCGGGAAATCGGACCTGGGCCATGGTTAGCTGCGGAGTAAATTTTGTTTACATCCAGAAACAGAACTTATTTCTTTAAATATTGTTTTGTGCATGTTTTTAGCCTTGCCTCACATGAATATCTTCCAACTCAACATACCCGACAACATCGGTCACATCGCTGTAAGCAACAACCCCGCTTCTTCCTAAGCCAGTCTAACATTATAGAGAATATAATATCACCATGGACCTTTCCATCGCTATCATCAACGACCTCGGCAGCGTTTTTAAACACTGGGCTCTCGTCATCCCCAGCCCGGACAACCCCGGTTATGTTTTCCTTCAGGCCAAAGGCTCAGACCGTCATTTTCGCTACGAGCCAGAAACGGCGCGGGATCTCGAATACATAGGTCTAGTGGAGCTTGTCAAGCTGTGTCGCGTCGATGCTGGCAAGACGAGTGAGATTAAGAATGTTGCGAGCAGGGTCACTATCCGTAATGGCATCAGTGGCTGGAATTGCCAGGATTATGTACTTGATTTGTTAGACGCCTTAGAGGGACAAGGTTTAGTTGATGGGAAGGACGAGCGTTATAAGGAGAGGAGGGCCTATGTGCGGGGGAAGGTTGAGGGGCTGGAGTAGGGCTTACTTTCTTGGTATTTGATTATTCTACTAAACTATCAAATCCACGGTGATATTATCTTTCCTGGGGCCGTCGTGAGTGAATCCTAGCCCTCTCCAAATTCAACAGGTTCTGTGAGAAAAGAGCGGAGAAATCTGGTATATGTGGCACTCCCCCGGTGCTTCACAGAAAATTTAACCTCAGCAACCCACCATAACCGTATTAACCCATGCAGTCTCGGAACTGGAATTCCGGACGCACGTTCAGCAAGATCTGTAGTGTCAGTTTAGGACCAGTCTGAGTCTGAATCTGGATATGTGACTAGAGCTGGGTTCGGTCGGTGTCACCTCAATAATCTCTCTACTTCCTCAGATGATGGGTGCACAATCCTTGCCGTATCCTTGATATCAAAGCTCTTCCTGAAGCCCTTAAATCCCCGAAAGCGGCTTCACTTCCATAGCCTCTCTTCTATTGCTTTTACTGTATATCCGTGAGCGCCGCTTGTAGTTAGGCGGAACAGACCCGAGTAAGTCGGTCTCTTCACCATCTTGGAGAGCCATGTGGAGTTAATATATTGTTTGGTAGTTGATTCTTGCCGCACCTGCACCGTAGTCGAGGCTGCCGAGATGTGTTCGTTGGTGTTCGTTGTGGTAGGTTTAGGGGATTAGGGAGAGCAGGTCGACGGATGGGCTTTTGTGGACGGCGCGTCTGAAGGCGCATATTAGGTCTTGGTTTCATCGTTTGACGTGGGAGGGTTAGGGTATTCATGACGATTGGTCGAGTTGTAGAATCAAAACAGGACTGGCAATGTTTACTTGGTAGTGTTAGTGATGTGCCTATTGCGCCATTAGATGTTCAGGCACAGTAAGAGAGCATAAGAGCTGTTGCATTACTCGTAAATTATCGTACATATGGTACAACCGTCTAGCCTACCCGATCGACAGATCCTGAACGCCAACGTGCTAAGAGGCAAAAACAAAAGCAACAGGAAGAGGCTAGCGCATGTTAATATAGAACAAATACCGCTGTCGAATCTGCGCAATGTCATACACGATGTACTCATTGTACATCAACGAACACCCCTTTTGTTCATTCTTCGACCCCATGCCCACGTCCGGCATCATCACCCCCTTGAGACTCTCATGCACGGATCCAGCATCTTTCCAACCGGCCGGAATACTGCGTCCACGTCCAAGTGTCGCAAGTTTGCCTTCCTTCTTCGAGTCCTCGGCAGCATTGCAGTTGGCATATTCTTGCTCGTACATGGGATCTCCCAGCTCCACGTCGCACAGCATCAGCAGACCCATGTTACCAGAGTTGTAGGGACAGCAGTAGTTGGCGGACTTGGATGACATATCGGCAAAGTAGACGCCCTTGCCAAACATGTAGCCGTTGACGGGGGCTTCAGGAGGTGCGATGCGCAGACCTTGGCTGAGGATACCACCAAAATTGGTACTGCGGGACCCGTGCCAGAGAAGACGACGGTTGGGGTTCTGAATGGCACCGTAGGACTTTGAGAAGCGGTCGGTTTCGCCGGGACGCTCGATGCGGAAGATGTTGATTACATTGTAGCTCATGTTATGGGTTGCTCCGCGTGAATAGTTGAGGTATTGCTCGAGTTCAATGAACTCGGCCGTATTGGGTTCGACTGGGATTGTTAGCTAGTGCAAATCAAAATAAAGGGGGGGGGGAATACCTGGAGTCATCTCTTCCATTCCCAGGCCATTAAACTGGAGATCCAGCTGATGAATCCTCTCCCTCTCAACATCTTTGGATTCCTTCATGATCGCATTCGTAACGCCCATGTCCGTCAATGCCTCCAGTAGTTCAACCTCCTTCTTGATCAACTTGTCATGAAACAAGACCGGTGGTCGATTACGACCAAACACATGAGGAATTGTCGTAAAGTACCGATTGCTAAGATCCTCCGCGGCAGCCGGAACAGTCCTTCCGTATTTCGAATTGGCTAGACTAGGGTTGGCCAGAAGATCCGACAGATCTTTCAAGATCCGGTATCCATCGTGGAGCGTCCGCTTGCTCAACTTTCCCAATGGCATTTTCTTGACGTCGTAAGACAGGGCCTCCATGGCGGAGACGAAGTGCTGCTGGTTGAATATAAAGGTCATGAGGTTCTGGATCGACTGGGGTAGAGCACTTTCCACGGGCGTCTCTTCTCTCTCTTCCCTCTTGATAGCCTGGTCTTCACCATCATCCTCATCGTCCGAGTCTTCGTAGTTACGCTCAAGGAAGGCGTACTTTTTATCCTTAGGAGTGTCCAACCGATTCTCCCAGGTCAAACCGGTCTTGTCCTTGAATTTCTTCCCAAACTCTTTCATAGCTTGGTCGAGACTGCCACTTCCCAGAACAGTCGATTGACCTGGCTCTCCGACGCGGCCCCAACGAGTCCACGTTCTGTAGTCGGAGCTGGGGCTCACGAGAAGCTGGATGCGGTAGAATTTGTTGTTGTTCTGGCCGGCATTGGTCTGGTTCAGAGTTGCGTCCCAAATCAGACCTGAATCGTCGATATGAACGGAGTATCCTATCACAGTCAGCGCCATCCAATTAACAGGTATCGCCAAACTCACCCCCCAAGGTACAGCCGTCATCAAGAGGAACAACAAGCTTCTTGGACGACGCCTTTTGCGAGTCCTTCATCTTCTTCGATTCATCCCCGTCCTCTCCATTGGCAGCTTCGTTAGTGCCAATTGCGTCCTCATGAGTCCGCTTCTTCGCGCCGCCCTTTTCTTTCTTAACTTCCTTCTCCTCCTTAACAGCAGTGGCATCCCCATTACCCTGCAGGACCGGAGAACTCGAATCACTCGTAAACAAATAACCCTTCACCGGAAGCGGCTTCTTTGCCTCAATTGACTCCAACAACCAAGCCAGATTCACAATCTCGCAAATACTAATCCCACAAGCAGTCTTGACTGTTCCGCTTCATCAGCACCCCAGATCACCATCACCAACACCAACAACAAGACAACGTACACTTAGCACTCCCCTTCTCAACATCCTTCTCCGTCGTAACTAAATGTGTACAGTCCTGCGATACACTGCTACTGAACGTTGCGCCCTGACCTTCCACCAGGGCCTTCAGGTCGGCTGTATGTATACAAGGATCAGTTGTTGCTCTTGGGATTGGAATGGTGAGTGTGAGAGGAATTGCGTACCCTGCTTGTAGCCGGTAAATGTGCCACTCACGGCGATGATGGCCTTTTTGAAGGTTCGCGGTGCCATTGTGACAGTAGTCAGTGATGTGGTGGTTATCGGTGGTATCAGTATATTGGGGGAGTATATCAGGATGATGGGTCAATTGATGGGTATGAAGATGATGAGGTAGTAAAACAGAGGGGATAGCATGGGATATAGCCAATTGAGCGTAAAAACTAATATAAAAAGAAGATATCAAAGGAAGGAAATACGAGCCTTTTAAGCTCGAGAGTGCAACTAGTCAAGACCCTGGATGCCTGTCGATTCAGGCACTAACGCCGCTGCTGCCTGCTGGCCTCCAGGCAGACACAAGGGTCTAGTCCTATTCGGGTAATGCAGCTGCGAGTTTGCAATGGGGTTAACACTTTACAGTTAAAGAATCCGGCTACGTCAGAATATAGGTGTAGAGAAAATGATAGAATAGTCAATTACGCTCATGTGGCTCTATAGAACGATCGGGGGAATATATATGAATCCAAGAAGAAAGAAAAGAAGAGAAAAGACGCCCAGTCATGCCACACATAATTCAATAACCATCCAATCAATCCACCACGCGCCATGCTGTATATAAGCGAGAACCAGGTATATAGAGATTGCGACCGTGATATGGCGGTCATGCAAAAAATATAAATAACTATACACATCCAAGAAAGAAAACGAAACGAGTAGGGAATCATAGAACAATCAAAATCAAAGAAAAAAAAAAAAAAAAAAAAAAAAAAAAAAACTATGTAGTCTGCGCATGCACAACATTGTTGTAAGACAGCTCAATCTTCGAGTCGTGAGTGAGAGCATGAGGCTCCTCATGGAAGTCGTTGGTAGTATTCGACTCGTGCGACTGGCTGTCAGACTCGCGATCGCGATTCGACGACTCGCTAGAGATCGAGTGGAACTCATCCTTCTCCTGGAGCGTCTGGGAGATGCTCGAGGAGTTGCTGGACATGTAGTGGAGAGGCAGCTCAGAGAACCCGTTCAGCAGACCGGCCGATGCCACGGACCGGTTGTCGTCTGTAATTGGCGACACCGGCGACACTGGGGTGGAGGAAGAGGTGGACCGCTGGGGATGACGGGGAGGAAGAGGGGGAGGGATGCGCTTGGGAATAGTGACCAGACGGGCACGGGTGAAGGTAGGCGAATGGCGACGAGATCCGGTGGGAGAGGCAGATGGCGGTTGGTTGAAGTAGTCTTCCATCGCGCTGCCTCGCTTGGAGACGGTAGCACTGCTGACTTCGTGGATCTCCAGGTCGTCCTCGATGACAGACGCGCGGTCGTTCTCGTAGTCCGTCGAGATCGTGAGCTGACGATTCTCGGGGATGGTGGCATCCTTGTCGCTCGGCGCAAAGCGACTTCGCGAGGAAGCGCGACTGATGGATGTCGGGGCAGTGGGGAGGTCATCAGTCTGGACACCACGGTCGACACTAGTATGGCTCTGTACACTGGCACGCCAGCTATTCCGGGGCGAACTTTCTAGACTGCTACGGGTCGCTGCAGCAAAGGTCGCGTAGACTGGACTGTTCGGGTTCGGCTTGAACTCAAAGACCTCTTGGCTAGGTCGGCTCTTGGTGCCGGCCTCGCGGATAAACATGCCTTCTGCCTCCAAGGCTCTGACACCAAAAGGATCTGGGTCGTCGACGGCAGGGACGCCAAACACGCCGCCGGGCTGTAGAACCGCATCACCTGGTGTCTCACCTCCCGGCACCACGCTCTCGTCGATTATATCGCCCTGCGCCGCCTGAATCGTCTTTATGAGGCCGTTGATTTCCCAGGGCGGATGGCGGACCTTCCCGGCAAGGATCTCGGTAACCGAGAGCCGTTCGCCGTAAAAGCGCTCATTTTCATCCGTTCGCTCGATGATGACTGTCCCGTCGACTTGTACACCAGCATAGAACCCCCGACTCTTCATGTAGTTGTAGACGGGTGTCTGTCGCTTGTGCACCTCGGACTCGAGTATACCACCCACACCTACGGGACCAGCAGAAGCACTAATTTCGCCGCCCAGGGTGCACCGGAAGGTCTTGAACGCCTCCAGGGCTTCGGGGGTATTGATAACCACGACACAATCGTAAATGTCGACGCCAGCCAGAAACCCGACGCCAGCTGTATGCAGCATGATACCCGACGGCGGGCTCCATTCACCAGTTTCGGGAATACGGCCGAGAAGCACTCCGGCGCCACCGGAACCGCTCATCCAAAGCCCAGAACGCATGGTCGTAAAGATGGCCAGACCCTGGGCACGCTGAATAACCGTGGTCGGGATCTTCTGCATCACACGCTGCTTGCCCTTGGGCTTGTCGATTTTGCCGTCGAAAGTCGTATCGGGGGTCTCATCTTCGGCGTAGAAACCATCCTTACAGAAGGAACGTAGAATGCGAGCGGCCTTGTCGCACTCTTTATCGAGCGACATGGGCCAGAACGCTTCTGCACCCAAACGGTAGGATAGGCGATTGACGGGATCGCCGAGTTTATCGAGGGCGGACCATGTCTTGTCGAAGCCTTTTTTGGAGTTTCCTTTTGTTTTCTCCCACCAAGATGTTCGTGGCGGCATTTTGTCTACAGTGGTGGTAGACTTAGTAGAGGGGCGGGTAGAAGAGCAGAAAAGAGGGAAAAGCTGCCCAATCTATAAGCCCAGTGGAAGGACCTGAAACGAGGGCCACTCGACGGGAACAGGAAGCATAGGCCGGAGATTTCCCAAAGCGGCCGATGTTTTCAGAGAAAGAATGCAGGTATACAGGTATATACAGAGGGATGGAGGGATGGATACAGGGATGGATATAGAACAAACGACCGAGAATAGAGGAGGGAAAAGAATATAAAGATGACGATGGAATAGAGAACAGCCTATAAGATCATAGCCGACTCGTCAGCAGCTTGACATCACGACCGGAGGTGGCGATGACTCGGAAACCATGGAAATGTGCAGGGACTTGTTGCCCGAACGGGAGACGGTTACGAAGAAATGAAGAGATTTCAAGACAGGGCAAGGTTCCCTATATAAATCAAGGGTGGTTTATTTATGATATGGTTCACGCATGAAATATGAGCCATCATAAACTCACTATTGTTCGGCATCCGACTCAGTGGAGCGTCCATAGTCGATCCGCTAGACGGTTCTGGAATGCGAGGTGAAACCTCTACCGTCCTTATTATAGCATTCCGCCAATACAATATGTTCTTATTCTCATTATTGCTGTTACCACTCCGTGCCTGTATATCGTAGCCAAGTATCCGGAGTATACTTGCGATGTACTCCGTACATATCACCTCTCAATCATACAGGTACATCCCGATCGATATCCATAATTCTGACTCCTCGCATGCAGATGATTTTTCTGCATCCCGGCTCGATCGGATGACGAGTCAGATACACTAGTGTATACTCACTAGTAATCCTCCGTACCGTTGAGTTATTATTCAAGTGATGTGACTGAATGTCCAGGCACCTGTCATCAAGAGGAAGATACTCCCTATCTATCAGCATGCATCTCTTTTCCATCTACCCAAGTGCCATGGTGCTAAATTGGCGCGATCGAATCTGATATGAGAGCCGATGCTTAAGTCCGCAAAAATGACAGAACTTCCGCGACGGGGCCAATTGCCCGTTACTGCATATCGAACCGAGCCGCAGACGGGCGATCCTGAATCTTCCTTGCCTAGGGCTCCTCGATCTTCAGTTTCACCTCCGGGGAATCGCGTCCAAGGCGGAAGGCGACATAGACATCCCGCTGTTACGGAAAGTCGAGCCTAGATTCAACTTCCTGAGCACGGAGTACCAACATAGACAAAACCTCGCGAGATTTACTCGGCGAGCGGTACGGGTCCTCGACACGCTCGCCGTGTGCTTGTCTGACGTTCAGCCAGCAGTCGTTGCCTCTGTCTGAGAAAGCGACAAGCATTGTGGCCAACACCGTCGTTAAGAATCCCAGGCTCTTTGGTCACAGCTACAATTACTGGCATGATTTGCGGCAAATTCAAGCAACGAATGATACAGCGCGTGGCCCAGGTGTTCTGGCGTCGCTCCAGTAATGAGAGATGAAACATCACCATAGGCATAAGAGGGTCCTCTAAAAATGGATTCCACGCGACTGATATACGCATTTTCCGTTTGGGGGGCTCTTGAAGCGCCTGACCAAACAGAACGGAAGACTATCGTTCACTTATACCCCTGTGCAGGAACTATTTAACAACGATGTCTCGAAGACTTGTGCATCACGCTCCAGGTCACCAAGAGCAAGCATCCGTCAAGGGCTAGCAACGGCCCATCAACCAGTGCTCATATCGCGAAACAAACCAAACTCTCAAAAAGGGATTGCGTCACTTACTAGGTTTACAGTCAGCCGTCTAGGGTCTACTTACAGCCGCGTTCTGCAAACGTTGGTGCTGTGCGAACGCTGGTCGTGCTTGCGAGCCCGTCCCGGGATGTCTTTCGTGATGCCGTCAATGAGATCCTTGAGCTGCCCCCTGTCCACCTCCGATGCCAACGATGTAGCCGACAAGGTCGAGGCATATCTGCGTTATCCATACCTGGATTCCCGAGAAGACAACGACATTGCTAATGAGCGTGAGCACTCGCTGTGGTCCCTCAACATCAATCTCTTCCGAGTAACCGACGCATTGAGTTCGCTCGCCGGTCGTCTAGAGAGTGAAAACCAAGGTTCTGGGGCTCGTCTGGAAGTTTATGCGGGAGGAATCTTTCCAGCTGAGCAAATGCCGAAGGACAAGAAAGGGGGTCTCAAACGCAAGCGCGAGGAAGAGGATGGTGGAGGAGGCTAATTAAATGCATAATGCGGTAACGCTTCTTGGATAGAGGGAATGTCCTTGAGAATCGTCCACACGGACACTGGATTCCGCAAACCCGAAGGATTCGAATCAAATAATAAACATTGCAATGCAGTCACGGAGCAAAGACCACCAGGAGACTGACCAGTTACGCTTTTTCCTATCTTCATTGCGAATGCGTGTTGATTAATTGATTCGTTGATATTACAACTTTCGCATAAGAAGCGAACGCTCCGCCCTCGAACTACATAGGGGCGTCGAAATTCGCATGCATCCCCTGTAAGACATCTATCCAATGCATGCAAGAGCAAGGAGTGGTCTGGTACATCCCTAGGGCGTACAGCAAGTCAAGCTTTCCCCGGATGCATCCAGCTGGGAAAATCGCTAAGCCATTGCCGATGCATTCGACGTGATAGATCTAAACGCTTACTGGATGTTTTGGCGAAAAACAACCTAGACCACACTAACTCTCAATAAATGGAGCCGTCAAAAAATCAACCGTGGCCCATGCCAGGTTAATATGGAAGTATTTGCAGGCTTTCACTGGAGTAAAAGAACTTCAGACATATACAACATAAAAGGCGAACTTCATCCTCAAATTGTCGAGTTCAAGCGTCTTGTTTATAAGTTTTCGTCCCAAAAGTTGCTGAAGCCGTTGGCGAGGCATTGAGGCGCATCAGGGCCCAACTTGCTTAAGCCTGATAACAAGCGAATGGTGGGTTCGAAGAATAAAGATGAACTCATGAGGTACTTGCAAGACTCCCTTAAAAGTCTTGGGTCTAGTATGCGTTTTCTTTGGCCTACTTGAGGACCAGCTCCGCAAAGGAAAGGATTTTAACGACCTTAATAATCATTTTGGATGCCATTGATCTCCATGTTTACTTAGTACTGACTAACCTCTACATAGAACCACCAAATTATCGTTTCCTTCTGAAAGCCTCCTCTCTCACCCTTTCAATCAACGCATTACTTCTATTTGCGCAGTCACCACATGGACGGACTCGGTCTCTTCGGGGCACAAATTTGGATATCAATGTCGCCCCGAATAATTCACGTGAGATAAAACTTCCGCCAAATGTAGAATATCTAAAAGCAGTTGCAAACTCAGCTTTAGAATCCAGGGATACTCGTACGAAGGTAATGATCCAAGCCCTGGCAGATTCATGGGTTGGTTTTTCCAGAAAGGTTGATTCTTCCAGAAAGGCATATGGAGGAAAACGCACGTCGTCGTCAATGCATCCGTTCATTGTGAATGCGCACTTGTCTTGCACCTTTTGAAGAAGAGGGGTGTTTATCCCATCCCCCTTTGGATTATATCGGAATGTCGAAACTTGCCTACTATCCGTGCTGGTTGCTCATCCGATGTCTCCGGGAACAGAATATCATCAACTACTATGTATGAGGGACACTTGACAAAATTTCTATTTTCCATGGAAATGCTCCTCGCATGAAATGAAAGCTTGCCTTTCAGCGAAGCAAGCAGACATTATCAAGGAGTCGGTCTACGAGAAGCTCGCCAGAAGGTACAAAAAGCACATATTATCCCATCGAAACGAATACATGATATGAATTCAGACAGAAGGCCGCCGTTAAACTGGGATAGTCAACACTTTCAAAAACTATGAGTCGTATCTAAGAGATCATTGCTGATCAAAACAAACCCAAGACTACAAGTCATATGGTTTGACGCTTTTAATTTTTGCTATCCTCATATGGACTTTATTGAACAGATTTGTGCCATCGTCAGGTTTTACGATGCCATTCTGGCAAGTCGTTTGAGTAGCTCCCGGTACGGTTTGTGCCTCGCAACAGCAAAGAAAGAAATTTTGCTGTGGCATGTTAGTTCAACCGGAACCCCTAAAGTTATAGTCTGGGGATTGTACAAAGCCGTGCTAGACGGCCGGCTGTTGCCATTCACTCTCTCGCTTCTTGTCTCAGGGGGGGAGCGAGATTAAGAGAGTAGTGATACCGGCATATATCCACTGTGATGCCGGAAGAGCCCTATGGCCCATTTTTAAAGATACATTGGCGTACCGAACTGATATGCCATCTGTGCTCCAGCTGGATACAATTATTTGAGTCTCTGAGCAAAGGACATTTCGGATTTAAATGTGAGAAGATTGTGGTCAGAGACTTGAAGGGAACACCACCGTTTCATGCGCTGACCACGGTTTATCAGATGCTTAACAATTCGGACGGAAGTCGAGCGTTCTGATCGTCAACCAGCTGGAACTCCCATACCCCATGCTCCACCTTCATCGACACGCTACCATCCTCATTATGCGCGGCTCTTCCCTTCTCCGTGGCTTATACGTGGAGAAAGTATTTTTCCATTGAGCTTTCAGGCTCATGCCAGCATTGCTTCAGTCATCTGGTGTTTGGAATATTTTTCTCATTCCTACGCTAGTCCCGCCATTGTATTTACAGTTCTCGGTGCAAGTGAGCCACTGGAATCGATACCTCCGCTAGGAGTGCCCAGCTGCTGGCGTGAAAGTTAGGGGGAAAAAGAAAAAAGAAAAAGAAAAAACGAAAAAAAAAAAAAAAAAAGAAAGGAAAGACGTTGTGGGACGAATTGTTATATGCAAACGTGGCTAACAGGCTGACTGCATGCATAAATGCATTACACGCATGACATGCTCGGCAAGTCATACTTTCTCTGAAATACCTATCTGCTAGGGCCAGCACACGCTCCAAAGGAGATTTGAAAAGAACGTTAGAGAAATCCATACTTGGGACCAAAAGGATCCGCATACTGTTAGAACATCTGCAAGACAAGCTGGTGTATGGCAACAAGTAGATAGGTACCAAGAGGAGTCCGGTCTCGTGGCTCCGAGATTACACACCTCTTCCTGGCGAGAGAAAAAATCTCAACATACGCTTGCTCATTTCGCGAGCTTATAAAGCGTCTAACGAAGATTAAGGGCCCGAAATATCGTTTTGATATGCTTCTAACCCTATGCAAACGATTGCTAGTACGAACACATGTTTTTCGGACATGGGACTCTTACAAGAACCATTATGGAAATTTCTATAGAATTATTTGCTATGCTTCTATACGGGAGCGGCCGTTTTTGACATTTGACTGTTGAGCACCAAAGGGTTGACTGGCACAACCGTGACTGAACATGAGGGGCATCGTCTCAGGTCGGCTATGCAGCTCGGATGGGAACGCTTTATCGGGTTCAGAGGAAATGGGATAAAAGATGGCCACATTCAAAGCTCGTCTACAGAGCCTGGCATCCTCTCCCGGTTCGCAAAAGAACACCGCAACACTGTCGTAGAGGCAGAATACAACCTCCTGGAAGCAAAGAATCCAGTGGGGTTTTCTTGACAAGAACTTGAAGGTAGATTTCCTTATAAACTCTTATTGTTTAACGTTTTGGGTATACTTTGGGCCCTGCCCCCGCTGGTGCAACGAAAGACAACTTCTACCCTCTACTGACAATCACATACGCAAGTTGGTGCGGGACGCTAGCAGGCCGAAACATGTCACCTATTATGTACCAGGATACCAATCACAGGACATTGCAGGCCTTCCGGCATCAAACAGAGATCTCTAGATAATTGGCACTGTTATGCAAGTGCATGGCTAAAACCACCAGGACACAGACCACACCATCTGCCAGAATGCAAATAAACTTCCCGAAGGCCATAAATCCATCCACTTCTGGAAGCATACATCGTGAATGTGGCCCTTATATTACACTTCTTGCAGAAGGATACGTTGCCTCTGTTTACCTATATTTGCTTGCCTATATAGGTATTTCCAAGCTTGTCATCCTTGTTGGGGGTTCATTTGGTCTCTACATTGCCTACAGTACAGATTATATGTACTAAGTCAGAATAACTAAAAAAAATCACCAACACCGTGGATCCTACACATATTGCATATCGGAAACGATCTTGGAATACACTTAGCACAGGATGCAGACACGATCAAGTCATGAGTCTCACACTTGCCGCCAATGAAGCAAAGGACGGGGCAAACGAAAGGACAAAGCTGTCGTATTGAAGGCGAAGTAAGGGACTTCATTGAAACAGTTCGGTCTGGGCTGTGAGCAATCTGCATTTACATATACGAGAGATGTTCTGAAGCACGAGGACGGCAAAGCTTGGATATAATCCGGGACGGAAACAAAAGTTTTCACAAAGGCAACTGCCTTTAAGGCAATGGTATGAAGAACTATGATATTTTTTATTATCTGTGTGGTCTGTCGCCCGAAAGGGTCGGCTGCGTTATAGTGTCTTCAAACACCGTTGACATTCTGGATGGACATGCGAGTATCGTCGCGTCAAAGTATCGAGCCTCGACCGACGAATTCCGCAACACGTTCGCATTGTTCAATAGAGAACTAGCCATACCGTCGTTTTGATAGCGAGCATGTCCATTGTCTGCTTGAAACCGCCAGGGAATGGGCTTGTAAGTGCCATTGAAGAGCGCTGTGGACTGTGTCGATGACATCTTGGAAAAGAACAACAACAAACTGTTTTACTCGGGCTTGCATACAGACCCCAAACCGCAGATGGTTTCTCAGTCATTAGCAAACCTCCAAGATTTGGTACCATCAAATAAGAGAAAAATTCGACGACCACAGGGATTGGATGAGTTGCGAGCCATCTCCCAGCTTGCATGCCACTCATGCTATAGTTGAGTCCTGTCGCTTAAGGAGTTCAAGTACAATTTTTCGATGAAGAATAACCATTCGAGATGGTGGTTTCCCTGGAAACGAACATTTGCTATGTTGATTGCAAATTCCGGTCCCAAAGTACTGCTGGTTTCCATGAACATTTGCCTCCAATTAGCGATGGCCATCGAGAATTCGCGGAAGTTGATTGCAACTAACCCACATAGTCCCTTCTAGCGTTCTCATACAGCCAGCACTATGCAGCCATTGTTGCCATTCTGTGTAGAGCCCTATTGTTCGGTTAGTACAATATTAGAATTTGCTTCTTCCGCAACCAAACCTGCATATCATCTATCATGTATGCCACTCGGTGGATCTATCACATACATTTTCTCCATACACACGCATCTGATCCGTCGCCTGTTCATTTGCTCAATTCGCTCTTCGAATCAGCAGCGTCCTCTCATCCACGAGAATCTGTCTGCAACCAACCACGAGTTGCACTACGACCTGTCACTTGCACCGGCCCGAAGATCTTAATTAGCCATGAACCAAGATCGTTCAATTGATTTCTCACAAACTACATCATTTTATACGGCACAGATCACATGAGATCTTTACAGCGCGCCCAGCTCTTTCAGCTTTGATCTATCGAGGAAGTTGGTGCGAATAGAGAACTTGTTTCTGCAAATGATGGCATTATTGGACGAAAAGCCTCTTGTTCGTCAAAGTGAACCTATAAAAACACAAATTTTCAAATCGTGGCTCACGCAGACTTTGAACGTCGGCGCATTGTCACTGGGGGCTTTGACAAGATGAGTTCTACCGTAAGTGTCGTCAATTCTGGTTGCTGAACTGACTTAAAACAGGTTTGAATCCGTACTATTGAAGAACTTCTGCCCAGTGCTAAGGTGTTCTTTTCAGAGATGGTGCATTTAGCACCCCAGTAGGTGACTGGAACATGTTCCTTACCATGTTGGACTACGCTATTGTCCCGGTCCACAAGACCATCGAGTTGTAACACTACTTTTCGATTCCCATTTATACCACGGAGGTCCCTGGAGCCTTCACTTTTGCCGGTCAGACATAGCAAGCGTCACCCGCTGTTTCAGGCTTATTTACCTGACACCGAATAGTGCATGTTTTATACGACCTTTGGGAAGCCGGATCTCCTCCTTACCTCATACAAGTACTCTACTTGGCTGAACCCGTTCGTTTTGAAGACTCAAGTCTCCCTGTATTTTCGGGACACTCACCGTCAGAATAGCTGGATACCTCATATATCTTGACATTCGCATTGTTTCCATGGGAAGAAAAAGAAATCGTAACATGAATCCGGACTGACCGTAAAAGGAATCGTTAACAGAAAGAAGAGCACCCGATGGAAACGATAGCTTAGCCGTGCTCGCCAGCACATCAAGTTCAGACACAGAAGTGAAGCCGATACCATTAATGAGCCGAGAGAAGTGCTGCAACAGGCCCTTTATGAGGAACTTATCTCAATGTCAAAAACCCGCACGAATACGGATTGATCTAGGGATCTAGGCGGCACAAGATGCCGACGAGGCAGGTTCCCTGCGCGATCAAGTAATGAGTTTCTCGCTTGCCGCCGACGAAGTGAAGGACGAGGCCAACCAAAAAATATACATGAAAGATTACCGAGACATTCTTATGATCTAGGAAGGAAATTCATGAAGGGAATTGTCTTTAGATATTCTCATTCTAAGCTCCACGTTCTGATACCCTTTGGAGTACTCTGTAGCTGTTATCCATGATATGTTGCTTCCACTTTATGTGCATCTGGATAATGTGGGCTATCCCTCGTTGCTCGGTCTCTGGCTTTATTTCACTGGTAATCTATAGCTATCGCTAGTGGCTCGTCACCTGTGATTATGTTAAGTATGTCAATCCATTCAATCCTTTTCAGCAGGAATTATAGCACGAGTTGCTTCTAAGGAGCATCATCATATTTCATACACAGATCACAGGTTCGTTTACAGAGCGCCGAGTTCCTTGAGCTTGGAGACCAAGCTGCCCACGTCTTCGACCTTGCCGCCTCCCTGGCGCGGTGGGGGTTCTGTATTTATCAGTATCTGAGTAAACGCAAATTGAAATGCAGAGAACATACCGGTAACCTGGAGAGTCTTCAATCTCCGCTGGTTCTCGACCCCAAAGTCGGCCAGCGTCTTCTTCTCCAAGGGCTTCTTCTTAGCCTTCATAATATTCGGCAAGCTCGCATACCGCGGCTCATTCAATCTCAAATCCGTCGTGATTACCATCGGCAACTTCGCCTTCAACGTCTCCGTACCCCCATCAACCTCATGAACAACCTCCACCGTCCCCTCCCCATCCTTCACATCAACCTTACTCGCCTGCGTCGCCTGTGGCCACCCCAGCAACCCCGCAAGCATCTGTCCCGTCTGTCCCTGGTCCCCATCAATCGCCTGCTTCCCCAACAACACCAGGTTAATGTTCTCCTTCTCGACAACGCCCTTCAGCATCTTAGCGACAGTCAACGGCTCCGGGCCGTCGTTGCCCTCGGCGACGTCAATGTGGAAGGCGCGGTCGGCGCCCATGGCCATGGCGGTGCGCAGGGTGTCGGCGCATTTGGGGCCGCCGGCGGAGAGCGCGAGGATATTGTCAACAGAGAGGGGGCCTTTGCGTTCGCGGAGGCGGACGGCTTCTTCGATGGAGAGCTCGTCGAAGGGGTTAAGGGAGTGTTTGACTCCGGCGGTTTCGACGCCAGTCTGGGCTTTGTTGATGCGGGGTTTGATCTGTTATGCTACATTAGCATTGCTGTACCTAGTACAGAGCTTCAATTCATCTCCAGTATGGCATCCCCTCCATGTGTGTAGGTGGGCGGCGCCGACAACGGAGCAAAACTTACCGCGTAGTCAATGACCCGCTTGACGGGCACGAGAATCCGCAATGCGCTCATGATGAATCTGTAGTTTCTCTCAACGTTATGTATTTCTTAATTGTCCAGAGTAGAGGTGTCCGGGCAGCGGAGGTACTTGTAAGAGAGACCGCAGGCGGGACAGGTGATCTCGGCGGAGAAATCGACGTGACGCCGGCCCGAGCTTTTACTCCGCTTCCAGCCGAGGTAGACCATTATGCCTATGATGTTCATGCTACAATACGGGTATACAGGTGTTGAAGAGATATTTCAATGGTATTTATACAGGATTACCACGTCTCCTGCTTATATCGCCCACTCCGCTCCATTCCCAGCAAATACTCCTCCGCCGCCTGTCGATCCCATTCCCCCGTGCCTTTCCCATGCTCAAATGCCTCAATCAACGCCTCGCGTATCGCCTGTGGCATGCGCCCCGACGAGCCACAGATATATACAGATCCATTCCGATCCCGCAGCAGATTATAAAATAGTCCAAAGTCCTCCCGGACGAGATCCTGCACGTAGACCTTTTGTCGCTGGTCTCGCGAGAACGCGGTGATCACCGTTAAGTCGATTTCGTCTTTTAGTTTCTCCCAGTCCTCTTCGAAGAAGTAGTCTGCTGTGCGATTGCGGCCGCCGTAGAGCAGAATTGTTGGGCCGATTGGAGGCTGCACACCTGGGTATTTTTGACGGTAGGCTTGCACGAGGCCGGCCTTTTCCCAGATCATGGAGCGGAGGGGGGCGATTCCTGTTCCGGGGCCGACGAGTACCGTTGGACCGGTGAGTTGAGGTATGGATGAGTGGAGACCGCCGCGTTGGAGTTGGACACGGAGTGTGCTGCCGGGGCGGAGGACGGAGAGGTAGCGTGTGCAGACGCCTTCACGGATTCGCTTGATTACTGTTTGGTATTTGACGATTGCGATTAGAAGTTCGAATTGTGTGCTGCCGTCAGGAAGTCGTTTTAATGGTCCACCGCTGGCAATACTGAATTGGCGGCCACGGAAAATGGGAAAGACAGAGACTGCATGCTGCCATGGCACTCTGACCGAGTGGAACTCCTGCAGTACTTCCAGGATACTGCGTTTTGGTCGTGTAGTGTAGTCCCAGAATTCATCCAAGTACTCTGGGACGATGAACTCGAGAAGTCGTTCCTTATGCGTCTCATCTGGTGTGTAGTGTGCTATTGCCGAGAAGAATGACCGTCGCGGGATTGCCCGCACATCCAGATAGTCCGTGATGAGTGCACGCAAGGTCAGCTGCGGGTAGCCTTCCAGGCTGGCAATTGGTGGTGACGGTAACACGTCCAACGCTTGTAGACTTTCTCCCGGAATCAATGTCACCAGCTTATCCGCCTGCTCCTTCCAACCCATCATCTCAATCAAGTGCTGGACATCGCTATCAAAGTTCTTAGGCGTAACACAAATCATATCCCCGGGACTATACGATAACGATTTCGGTACCGTCAACGCAATATGCCGTACATCCTGCCAGTGCTTCTGCGGCGTAACCCGTTTATTCTTGGTGAGCGTCGCCTTCAACGTATCTGGAAGTGGCCGCACATCATGATCCAACCGACGTACTGCGGGCTGCTCGTCAGGCACTGTCTGGGGCTCTTTGCTCTCCGGTATGCAAGGCTTTGATGGTGTCTCTGCTGCCCCATCCGACTGCAGTAGCCATTTCGGTGTTAATTTCACGTCGTCCGGTATCGGATCCTGGCCTGGTGGGAGGGGGTATCTGTCGAGCAAGTGTTTGCGGAAACTCAGTACCCATGGGATGAATGTGCCTTCTAGCCTGCTCTATATTAGTGTCTAGACCGTGGCATTGGTGGGGGAAACGAACCCTTCAGGATGCCGCTGATCAGCCTCTCCGCAGGGGTACATCTCGTTTGCCCCGAGTTGAATCAGCCGTTTATGCAACTTGCGCGAAGCCCAATTGAACCTATTCCGTCAGGCCAGTATCCGATAAATGTACCAAGGCCACTTACTTCGGATACGAACTATCCCCCAGCCCAAAAGACGCGAAATTCACCCCCTCAAGAAACGTCGACGTAAGCCGCTTGAACAGCAATGATTTCCAAAATCCTCCTCCATTCCCCGGAATATCACCCTGCCCTGTAGTCGATGCGACGAAGAGAGTAAACGTATGCGAAGCGAGGGTTTCCTATCATTCTTCCATCAGTCCATATTTGTATAAGAAGGAAAGGGAGGTAGGGCTACCGGCTTAAAATTGTTCATCTCAGAAACCTGAGTCACGAAATGCAGCCGTTCGGCGAGATCGCCCAGCTCCTCGGCCACATCCTGCGCATTGCCTGTTTCCGAAGCATAGAGGACTAGTGCAGACCGTTTCTGGAGCCCTGATGCCGGGTTTACGCTCATTCTGCCTTTTTCAATTGGATTTGTTGCGGTTGGCTTCTCAGCGATAAAGATTTGACAGCCCCGCGGTTTCGCAGCGGAGCGGGATGATGTCATCTCCGAGATCGCTCTTATCAGATCAGATACATTATTAAATACAGGAAGGTTATAGAGATAGATTGATAGACAATTCGAATGCAATTGACACATTACACATGAACTAGACATCCTGAGATTTGTCCATCTGACACGCTGTAGGATATAAATAAAGTATGCAAAGGGTATCTCGCTAAAAAGTATCCTCCTCACCACCTCCTCCCCCATCCCCAAACCCATCATCCCCATATTCATCGTCTCCACCATCAAAGTACTGCTCCGCGTTGTAATCGCCTCCCATATCATCGTCATCGTCCTCGAAATTATCATCCACAATCTCCTCTTCCTGTTCTTCGTCGGGATCCAGAATATCCTCACCATCCCCGCCTCCTCCTTCTTCTTCTTCATCATCTTCAGCCTTCCGACGCTTCATCTGGTCTTCCTCCTCTACCTCGTCGTCCTCGAATCCACGCTTGGCGCCTGTACGCGCGATCTGCGGAACGTAGCCATCCATCGAGTTTTCTGGCTTGAAACTAGGCTGGATCGTCTGCCACAGTTCTCGGGGGAAGAATCTCATAACTATTACACCAATAATTAGTCACCGATCCCTTGAAGCATTTCCCAGATCCTGGAGTGATGACTCACTATATGGCCTCCCTTGCAACTTCGGCAACGTCCTCTTCTTCTTCTGATACTTCCCCGAATACGACGGCATGCCGTGAAATGGATCAAAGTTCACACGTGCAGCACTCCCCTTCTTCGCAGAGGACGAAGCGGCGTCGAGAACGGAGTAATAGGGGCCTTCGTGGTAGCGATCGCGCAGGTCGCGGTAGTAATCGACTTGGAGCTGCTCGCGGGGGGTGAGGAGCATCGCACGGGAGACATTGTATTTCTAGAAGTGTTAGTTTTCGATCATATTCGTATGGACGATTATTGCAACGTACAGGATAAAGAGGCGTGGGTGCAGTGTCTGGCTCCCCGCCGGCGTCGGTCTCCCAGGAAAACTCGGCTCCGGGCAGCTTTCTGCCCTTCTTGGCTCCAAATCGCGACATTTTGGGCAAGGAAATCAACTCCAATTATGTTGAAAGTCAATGCAAGCAAGTGTTCCCTCCCAATGTAAATTGAATTACCAGAGGTGAACGATTGCGATGACCGCAGAAAAAAAAAGTTCCGGCGGAGCATAACTCACCGCCTTCTATATATGAAAAGGCTTGACGTCCTAAACCCTACGGCCCACAGAGCTACTACTCCGTAGTCTTGGGTGATGGCGAATTACTAGAAGTGGTATAGCGTTCCTGTTTGGGTTTAGCGTCTTATTGCCGCTTGGCATCACGGTGCGTGCTCTATAAAGTCGCCCTCCATCGCTGCTTCAACTTCAACCAAATTTTTGCTGTTTTCTCTTTTACCTTTCGCCTCTGCCGCCCATAATTTTGGTGAGGCATTTTTGCTATTGATTCTCTGCCTAGGCCCCCTCGTTGCGCCACCCCATTTTCGCTGAATGCAGTCATAATCACCTTGAAGCTGCAGTCTTTTCACACCAGTATGGTCCCCCCACTCATGTTGGAAAGGTCTGCTAATAGAAATGATGTTTGAGATAAAATGTTGCCTTGCAAATTGAATAGTCCACCATAATTTTCATCACGTCATCCTCCAACCCTTCATCTCCTTCTGGCCGAGCGTCCTATGATGGATCCGTTTTCTATGAATACCACTGCTATGTTCATGCCTATGTACACTTCTACAATTGGCTGCCTTGTTCGAATGAACAACCTGCTAGCATCGCGGCATCCGCCACCTCCGTTTTGACTTCATTCCTGACTCCTTTCATCAGAGTTCTGGATGCACAGATAACAACTCAGCCCTCCCTGACCCGCAAGTGAGGAAGAACTGGTTGGCGTAAAATGACAGGTTGAATTGCTGATGTCTCGTGCTCATGACTGGCATTCATTGTGTATCAGGAACAGTCAGCAGGAATAACTATCTGGCTTCTCCTGGCCTGTGCCGAACAGGCAACAGGGGATCAATTGGCACACAAGAGTGGTTGAGAGTTTGCCATCCCCCAGCAATCAACAGAACAACTAAGACCAGAGACACTAAAGCAAGCTCAACATGTCTTTCGCCATTTCCCTGAGAATCAGTGTTCGCCCACACAGCCTGAACAGGATACCCCTCCTGCAACCCCAAACCCCGAGTCTCCCCAAAGCCAATTGGGCTTGGAACTCCAAAGCCACATCGAAGCAGCAGTGGCATTGAAAACAGCACGAATAAAGACCACTGGAGATGACGTTCTAGAGCTTGTCTCCATGGTTATTCAGAAGAGCAGGGCCTACAGGGAGCCGCTTCTCTGGGCAGGGATATCAGGACCCTGGCCCTCAACTTCAGCAAAAGCCTAGCGACTGTACACCAGTTCAAAGAAGACGAAAGCCGCCAACCCTCTCACTCCAAACACAATAGCTATGCTGGAGCTACAAGAACCTCTCTCAATGCCCCCAAGGTACAACCTAAACCACCCCTGTTCTCCACGCCCTATGGTCATATGTGATAGCCTTTTAGTAAAATGAGAATATATGGGGCGAGCCTGAGTGCACAATACAGAGGGTTAGCCATCACCCCGCATCATGCGAGTTCAGCCAGCTGAAAACTCAATATCCACACGCTGCCATATGAGACTTATCATTTGCTATTATGATTCAACGTCAGACATAAGCTGGTGGGTCTATGGGGCATGCTATTAGCATGCCTTGCCTGTGTTGGTGTCGCAGGCTGTGCCTGTTACATAAAAGAGGTATTTTATAGGATGGGCGACAGATGGATTACTGATAGGATATACCGCGCACGACGTACATATGTATATAGAGCCATCTGACCAGACATTCGTCCTCATGTTCTCTATGACGGCCTGGTCATGTTGTCTGGCTATCACGTGAGATGCAGTTGTTTGCTTTGTTGATGAATACGGCGTCACCTCCTTCTTCCTTCCTCATGTTGATTATTCTCGTCGATAGCTACTTAGGTAGAACCCATGAGTTGGATGTTCCTAGACCTGGCCTGGCCCACGGGCCGCCCATTGGGCCGGCCCAAAAACCCGCCCATGGACGGGTTTGGACAAAAGTCTTCGGCCCATGGGCGGGCCGGGCATGCTTTGTCCAGACCCAATGGCTCATGGGCTGGCCCATTTGGCCCAAAATGGGGCAAAATCCAGCTCGCACGTGCCTTGCATAAGTTATCCCTCTTTTCTTGTAATTTTCACTGTATCAGCTTTACAAGAAGAAATCATACTGAATCAGTACAGAAGGTAACAGTTGTGACAACTCATATATGACGGCTCAACACTGCAGCAATGAATGATACA